TCTGTTCATTTTTGTGCTTCTGGATCTTTATTTACAATGTTTCAACCTGTACCAAGGAGCCCTAGTGTATTCCCTATCCCTTCCTGTAATATTTTCAGGGGATCTGCTCTTACTTGAGGGTCTTTGATCCATTTGGAGTTGATTCTGGTATAGGGTGATATCTAAGGACCTGACTTAAGATTTCTGCACATGTATAGCCAATTCTGCAAGCACTATTTGTTGAAGAGACGTCTTTCTTCCATCTGATTATTTTGACTCCCTTGTCAAAGATTAGATGACCATAAGGCTGTGGGATTAGCTCTAGGTCTTCATTTATTCCATTAGTCCTCAGGCCTGTTCATATGCCAGTAACAAGCTGTTTTTGTAACTATGGCTTTATAATAAAGTTTGATGCTTGGTATGCAGAAGGAAGAATCTCTGGAATGTAAGATACTCTAGCCTTTATAGAGAAAGAACAAACAGATATTCAAAATAAAACCAAGAAACAAGGGAGTGGGTAACAATGTTCAACAAGAAATGCACGCATTGCCTTACTCATGTAATTTTAAACCCTCTGTACAGGATCTTAACAATAAAATAATTTTTTAAATATAAACTCTATAACACATACAAGAAACAATCAAAAGCCCTAACTTAAGGTGAATAGGTACTAAGGAGAGGCTAGAGAAGGAAGCTAAAGAAATAGGAAGTATATTTAACAGAATCCTAGCAGAGAACTTCCTGAATATCCAAAGGAAAGGCCCACTGAGGTCCAATAAGCCTTTGGAATCTCAGACCAGACCATTACAGGATATCACATTGCCACATTTTAATCCAAACAGGATCAATAGAGACCAATGCAAGGATCCTTGAAGATCTCAAGGAGAAAAGATCAATCACCTATAAAGGAAAATCAATCCAAATAACTTAGACAGTTTATTTTTATGTTACCTAAAAAGATAGGTTAATTTGCTCAATAAGTTGATTAACTCAAACTTCACCCAGATTTTCTGACCACCATCTTCTCTGGAAATATGAGATGTATCGAAGTTTTCTTCAGAGTGCTAGATGTGAAAACAACCTCTGTCATTATGGAATAAGACAATGTCATTACTCTCTAAACTACAGAGACCTTCTGAGTTTATAGAATGTTTATAACTTGTTCTTTTCTAGCTGAAAAAAATGGAAAAAGCGTCTTTTTGTTGTTTTCTATATGTCTGAATTCGGTTGATTTCTGGTATGTTACTATCTAAAATGCCTTGTCTCAACATGATAATGAGCTTTTCTCTGTTAGATCACAGGGATAGAAGCAAATGGAGGCTCGTCTTTCAACATAGCGTCTTAAAAACGAACCTCCATTCACTTCTATCCCTGGGGGATGGGAGGGTTGTAGCTGAGGAGGTGGGAGGGAGGGGATGGTAGGGGATAAACAGAGGAGGCAACAATGCTGGATAAGAAATGTACCCATTACCTTGCTCATGTAACTGTACCCCCTTTGTACAGTATTTTCACAATAAAAAACTTAATTATATTTTTTAAAAGAAGTAAGTGGAGGCCTACACAATTATAGGCAACTGAACTACTTGGTGATACTCCCAAACTATTTTATATTTTTTTGACAAAAATCTGGCAGAATCTACAATGTTTCACAAAGAAAAATGTAAAGCGGTGGAGTACGGTTGTTTTTTTTAAAGATTTTAAATTCAACTGGTTTCAAGTAACAGACAAGTGTTGACATTCAGTATTTTGCTCTAGTATTTTGCTGCTTTTCGAGGAGCAGCACATAATGCTTTCAACTCATGTAGTTTTCAATATTGCAAAAGAGGTATCTGTGTCTAAAAACAAAACCACAGATCTTGTTTTTATACAGTTTTAAACATAGACATTTCAAGTAGTAGAACAAGATTTTACATTCAGCATCTTGATAATACTCTGTTTTTGCATGAATTTACATGACTTTCAAACCAGGCACATTTTCACACATGAGAAAAAGAGATATTTCTGCTTCTAAAAATAAAAACTAGGTCTTGCTTCTTAGGTCGAAAACATAGAGTTCTATCAAATCATGTAACAAAATTGTACATTCAATGTTTTGCTCCTAAGGTACTTGTAGATGAAGAGTAACATAATGCTCTCATGGCAATCATTACTTCTGTGATGAGAAAAAGAGCTATATCTGCTTCTATAAGCAAAATATTAGAACTGTGGCTGAAGTTTTGATTATTGTCAATATCTGGGGCCCTCTTAGCTCTCAATATGTAATAAGCAAGAACAAAAATATCTTGTATGCATGGGATAGTCTTATAAAAGGGGAAAAATATGCCCCACCCATTGAAATTCTACCTAGAGTCTCAAAGGACATTTATGCCCTGAGAAAGATCTCTGTATTAATAGCAGTGTGAAATCCAGTCCACTCTATAAAGAAAATGTGCATTTGCAAAGTTTTTTCTAAGTTTCAAGTGAGAATTTAAAATTGAGGAAGAATTGTCATTATTCCTTTTTAGAAGTCTATCAGGAATCTTCCACCTTGGTACTAGAACCTTAGCATAACTGTCCATACCATGTCTGTTATCTGAGTCACTAATGCACACACTGATAATGCTATAAGCATTATGTATTTCTTTATATAGACATATTTCATTAATGTATCATTTTATATATTGCAATGTGCATTCTTTTGCAACTAAATATGCATTGTGATTCTAATAGAAATATTTTACTAGGGAGCATTTTTCTTTGACAGTTTTGCATTTGTCTCATGGAAATTTGCAATTGTTTACATATATACATATATATATCATAGAACTGTAAAGACAGGACTTAAGGATTTGGTCAAAATAAAGTTATTTTAGGTGGTACTAGAGTTTGAGCTCAAGGACTTTAACTTGGGTAACCTCCTTGGTGGGCTGTCACTCCACCGCTTGAACAAAACCTCCCTCCTCGGTTTTGCTACTTATTTTGGAAATAGATGCTCCTGAATTCTTCTGCCTTAGCTGCCTTTACCTATAGTCCTCTGTATCTCATACTCCTGCGTAGCTAGGAATATATACATGAGCCCCTGGTTTTTGTCTCTAAAATATGATTTTTTTCAATTAAATGTGATTGAATTGAGACCTGCTACTGTCAATCATAATAGTTACTTAGGATAACTGTCTTTAGGGTTTAGGCCTGTGCTTTGTTACAGAAATAAATAAATTTCATTAGTCCCTGGCTTTTAGGACCCCACAAGGACATCAGAATTTTGGGGTTTTTTTTCTTTTTTATTGTCAAGGTGATATACAGAGGGGTTACAGTTACATAAATAAGATAATAAATACATTTAATGTCAAACTTGTTACCCCCTCCTTCACTTTTCCCCTACTTTCCTCCCCCTTACCCCCACCCCCCAAGTTGTCCAGATCATTTCCAACATATTGTCTTGTGTAGATCACTGTTGCATTGGTTCCCACTTGTCCTTTGTTTCACCATTCTGTTGTTCCCCTTCCCTTCCCTCCCCTTCAAATAAACGTCTATACAATACCAGGGTACCAGAATCAAATACAGTGACTACAGGAGATATACCATAGGATGAAGAACATACAAAAGAAACAAAAACCACACAGTACATTAAAAACAGCAACCACCTCTTGAGTCCATGTCTTCGAGTTAATTTTGCTTAGTTCCATCTTATATGGTCATAAATGTTACATAAAAGATAGGTTAATTTGTTGGTCTTAAATGTCACCCTGATTTTACAAACAGCTCTTTTCTGAAATATAAGATGCATCAAAGTTTTATGCAGAGTGCTATTACTCCTTAAAACATAGAGACCTTCTGAGTTTACAGAATCCATATGACTTGTCCTGTTCTGAGAAATGGATAATAGATCTTTTTTTCTGTGTGTAAATTTACTTAACTTCTGACACATTACTATCCCTTCATCTATTTTTTCATTAGTATCATTCAGTATCATCATCAGTATCATCAATATTTACCTATTCATGGTTTTTTTTGTTTTATAAACAGGAGACATATAGGTAGAGAATATCAGTCCAAAAATGGTCCTGAGAAAAGAACACAAGACTCTGGCCAAATAACTAAAACAGAAAATTCTGAGGATTTACATACCTCAGGGGTAAATACAAACAGTTCAAATACCAAAAATAAAAGTTCACCTGAGGCGAAACAAAAAAAACTATTAAAAATTAGCCACTCCAAGTTCATTTAGACTTCCATTATAATCAGTGTATTTTTTATGCATTGTTGTTTTTTTGTTTGTTTGTTGACTTTTTATTGAGAAAATACCATACAGAAGGGTTACAATGACATGGGCAAGGTAATGAGTACATTTCTTATCAAGCATTGTTGCTTCCTCTTTGTTTGCCCTTCCCATCCCTTCCCATCTCCCTACCCTTGTGCTCCCCCTCCCCCCACATTCCCACCTTTCCACCCTCCCCCCCCTCCCCCCCCCACCAAAGTTGTAAAGTGCATTTTTTGACATAACGTCTTGTACATCTCATTGTTGCAATGGGTCCACCTGTATCCCTATTTAAACAATTGTTTTTTTCCTTCCCCTCCACAAATTATACCAACATCAAATACGGTGAAAAGAGGGGTTATACCATGGGGGGAGGGACATACAAAGCAACAAAGAGATAATCTTATAAATGCGTTAGAAACAAATGCATGAAAGAAAAAAACATTAAAATACATCTCCAAGGGTTCATTTTCCTAACATCACATTATCTGACCTTTTCAGCTTGACTCATACATATACTAGATATTGCAAATAAGGGAAATCATGGGACCTATGTTTCTTTGGGCCTGGCTTACTTCACTTAATATAATTTTTTCCAAGCCTTTCCATTTCCTAACAAATGGGGCAATGTCATTCTTTCTGATGGAGACATAGAATTCCATTGTGTATATATACCACATTTTCTTGATCCATTCATCTACTGAGGGGCCTCTGGGTACCCTCACTTTCTGTTGATGAAAGCAGTGAAACTCTTCTCCATCTGCAGATCCAAATTCTGCAAGGCATGGAGAGAGGCAACCACACAGTGAGGGAGTTCATCCTGTTGGGCTTCACAACAGACCCTGTGATGCAGCTGGTCCTGTTTGTCCTCTTCCTCGGAGTGCACTGTGCAACCTTGCTGGGAAACACCACGCTCATCGTGCTCATCTGCAATGACTCCCGGCTCCACACACCCATGTATTTCTTCATTGGAAATCTCTCTTTTCTGGATCTCTTTTATTCTTCTGTTTACACACCAAAGATTCTCCTGACTTGCATTTCTGAAGACAAGAGCATCTCCTTTGCTGGCTGTCTATCTCAGTTCTTCTTTTCTGCGGGCCTAGCTTACAGTGAGTGCTATCTATTGGCTTCTATGGCTTATGACCGCTATGTAGCCATTTCCAAGCCCTTGCTCTATGCCCAGGTCATGTCAAGGAGATTGTGCATCTGTTTGGTGCTATATTCCTACACAGGGGGTTTTGTCAATGCAATAATATTAACCAGCAACACATTCACATTGGATTTTTGTGCAGGCAATGTGATCGATGACTTTTTCTGTGATGTCCCACCTCTGGTCAAGTTGGCATGCAATGTGAATGACAGCTACCAATATGTTCTCTACTTTCTCTTGGCTTCCAATGTCATCACTCCTACACTGCTCATCCTGGCCTCCTACTCCTTCATCATCGCTGCCATCTTGAAGATCCGCTCTGCCCAGGGCCGCCTCAAGGCCTTCTCCACCTGCTCCTCCCACATCATCTCGGTCACCTTGTACTATGGCTCCATTCTCTACATCTACTCTCGGCCAAGTTCCAGCTACTCTCTCTCAAGGGACAAAATGGTTTCTACCTTTTATACTGTGTTGTTCCCCATGTTGAACCCCATGATCTACAGTCTGAGGAATAAAGATGTGAAAGCAGCCCTGAGAAAACTCTTCAAGCTTGCACAGACCGAAGTCTAGATCCATTCGCTGGCCTTTCTGAAGATCAGTGCTAAGTGATAAAATGCTACTCAAGGGAAGTTTAGGGACTGGATTTCAAAAAATAAAACTCCATGAATGGAAAATTTAGCTTAAAACATTTTTGTGTTAAGTTGTTTTGGTATGGATTAGAGATTAGACTCTATTCCCTAAAGTTAACTGTAAGACCAATACCATTTGTCAAAAGCACTTCTAGGGTTTTAATGCAAAAATAGAAAAACATGGTATGTTTCTAGAACCTCTAAGGATTCTATATTCTTTTCTTCTCTCACACAATGTAAAATGAGTTATATTCTCTACAAGATTACTCTGATGGAGTGAATCTGTGATTATTGGCATTTGGGGAACATATCCTAAATTTTGTTGGCTCCCTGGGACTCTTCAGTTATAGAAGAATGTAGAATGTCAAGATCCCTTCTATGAGAAGAGAGAAGGAAATGAAGTACAGAAAAACAACAGCAGATAAGAAGAAATATGAGCGAATCTCTGCCAAATCAAATGGCTCAATGACCAGAACTATTTGTATGATATTTGTTTCTAATTGTAATGACATTTTAGTGAGTTCCTTTCATCAATCAAAATAACCTTTGGAAATAAAATTCTGTCCTCTGAGGTAGCAACTTCTCATTTGTAAACTTTGTAATATTCCTTCACTTAGACTCTTGTAAATGGTATTAAATAAAATAGCAACAAAACCTACTATGTACTGACAATAATTTCCAAGTTGTTTTGGTTTGTTTTTCTGTAGTTCAATTCTTCTGTTGGAACCATACTAGCATTGGGCTTAGGAATGACTTATCTCTTGTGAACATAGACTGAAAGATTCCCAAAAAACATTGTCAAAGTTCTCCCCAACAAACCCTAAACTGTCCAATGCAATGACTTGATATGATTGTAAGGAACAATAGCTAATTAACAGGTTAATCAATGCATAGAATTTATCCAGGGAAATGACACATAGATGGCTTACAGTCAATAAATAGTAAGATAAGAAATGATCTACAGAGCTGAGATGCTCTAACCTACAACTGGGGGAGTGGGGTATTGCATTCATATGATGGCTGAGGTTTTGTAACTCCAGGAACTGGGCTAGATTCATTATGTTTGGCAACACATCTTATCATTCATTGTTCCAGGAAACAATCTAAATAATTTTGATTATGCTTGATGAAGGTTCTGTGTTGGGATCAAGACTATAAAAAAATTCACAACTGACTTGGACATAAGGACTTAGGTATTTTATTTTATCATTCTTGAGAACAAATGGAAAACCACAGGGACATATGAGTAGACTTGGTTGTTTTATATTTCTATGTTGCATATTGCTAGATATTATCTACCCTTCTCCCGGTAACATTGATCTGGACCATTCAGGAGAGTTCTCTCTGGAGTATACACTCTCCCTAGAAGAGAACATACTCTTCAGAGTGATACACAACCATAAAAACACATATTGCTTTAACAGATTATGTTGTTGCAATTTTGTTTTATAATCTAAACTACTACAGAACACATCATTTAATATTATTTTGACATAGAAGACATTGGTTTACCATGCTCAAATAGGAGTTTCAAATAAGTTTATTAGAGAAAACACCTCACTGAAGAGAAACTTGAATAAAACCTTGTAAAAATAAAGTCCAAGTTTTTCAAAAATCTTGAAAAATATTCCACATCTCCTCAGCCAGTGACAATTACTCATCCAACTTCAGATCAAGCTCTATCCTTTATGCTCCATGACTTCTGTCTAAAACCATGAAGGATTTTATGGAAAAAAAAAATTAAAGAGGCAACATAATATATTGACCCCTGTGCAGCAGCCTTAAAATGGATCATGTCACAACAAAATATGAGTAATTAAAAGACCCTTAATCAATATCTTATTGTTTACAAAATCACCTGTTGTAATTAAATGAAATACACAAATGCTTGCAAGCCCATTAATCCCTCAGTTCTTGGATAGAGATAACTCCATTCACCAGAACCAATAACTTTCATGATTGTGGCCGTATGGTCTGTGTAGCTTTCCTGAAGGCCTCCTTCACATCCTTGTTTCTCAGGCTGTAAATGAGAGGGTTGAGCAGTGGGTTGATCACAGTGTAGAACAGGGCAGCCATTTTGTCTTTCTCCAGGGAATAGGTGGAACTAGGCCTCGAATACATGAAGAGCAAAGATCCATAGAAGAGTGTGACGGAGATGAGGTGGGAGGCACAGGTGGAGAAAGCCTTGCGCCTTCCCGAGGCTGAGCGGATCCTCAGGATAGCCAGCAGGATGTTGAAATAGGAAATGAAGATGGCGAGAATGCTGGAGAGCACTGTGAAGCCCACCACACCCAGGAGGACTTTTTCGTAGACCCGTGTGTCTGTACAGGACATTTTTACCAAGGGTGGCGCATCACAGAAAAAATGGTCAATGACATTTTTCCCACAGAAACTCAGCCGGAAGGTGTTGGCAGTATGGGCGATGGCATTCAAAAACCCTCCTATGTAGGAGCCTGCAACCAGCCCAGTGCAGAGAGAAGTAGACATGGTGGCTGAATAAAGTAATGGACTGCAAATGGCTACATAGCGGTCATAGGACATGGCTGCCAGAAGATAGCACTCCGTGTAGGCTACAACACAAGAAAAGAACAGCTGGGCCCCACAACCAGCCAAGGAAATGCGCTTATCTTCCGAAACACAGCTGGCTAGAATTTTGGGGGTGTACACAGATGTATACCAGAAATCTAAAAAAGACAGACTTCCGATGAAAAAGTACATAGGCGTATGAAGCCTGGAATCAAACCGAATTAGGACAACCAAAGTCATATTCCCTGACAAAGTTAACAAGTAGATAATTAAAAATATTCCAAATAGAATCAGCTGCCAGTGTGGATCTGTGGAGAAGCCCAGCAAGATGAACTCAGTCAGGATGGTGCGATTCCTCACCTCCATGTCCACAGAGGAAAAGGCCTGATTATCATTAGAAGAATAAAAAAAAAAAAAAAAACACTTAGTGATTTTACAATTGAAACAACGTAATAAGTATATTTCAATTAAACCAACAATGTCTAAGAAATATGTGGGATTTTATTTCTTAGTATACACAATTATAGATCTCTAGTGTCTTTGAAAGGCCATAGGAATTGGAGTTAAAATGACCTTGCAATTAGAGGATTTACTTAGCATTACTGTAAGGCAAGTTCTCCTAAGATAGACAAGAAAAATGAGGAAGTGGCACTGTGGCTCAAGCGGTAGAGCACTTGCCTTGAGCTGAAGAGCTGAGGGACAGCACCCAGGCTCAGGCCCAGAGTTCAAGCCCCACGACTGACAAAAAGAAAAGAAAAATGAATCTCAAGATGATAACTAGATATCGAGCTTCAGATCTATCTGAATATATATGTTCACAAACATATATATGAGAACTCCGACCTACCTATTGTTCTTTTATATACATTGGCCATTCAAAAAGAATGTCAATATGGTTCTATAAGTTACTAAAAAGACCTTGTGTAAGAAGCATTATTTGCCTGTATTCTATACTACTCCTCTGCTATTAGCACAAGTAGTAATAAATATGTATTACTAATTGTGCCATGTTCTACTTTAGGCTATAGATTTAACCTACTTTGTTGCCATTTCAACTTTGTAATACAGTTGCATCATGGTCTTGATATTGTTCATAATTCTTAACCACAAATAATATAAGTAAAAACATTCTCAGAACTGATCAAAAGCACAGCTACAATTTAACCCCATGTCTGGTTAATAAGAGTATGTTCTTAGCTGAACACTTGTGGCTCATGCCTATAATCCTATCTACTTTGGATTTCAGTTCAAAACCAATCCAGACAGTGAAGTCCAATAAATGACTCAGAAAAAGCTAGAAGTGGTGCTGAAGCTCAAGTGGTAGAGCACTAACTTTGAACACAAAGAATCTCAGGCACACCACTCAGGCCCCAAGTTCAAGCCCAAGCACTGACAAAAATTATACAAAACAAAGGAAAAAATAAACAGTATGTTCCTTGATACTACATTATGATGGCTACAGCACAGTAGGATATCTATAGATGACAATGATTTCAAAGTGTGAGCAAAAAGATTCTAAATATTTTCCTATAAGGAAAAAATAATGATTGAGAAGATAGTCATGTTTACCCTGATTTTAATATTATAAAAGTATATATGTTCCAAAACATCACACAACATCTCATACATAATTACCAATTAAAAATTAAAAATATTTAAAAGGGGGGAAAAGGAAAGAAAGAAAAGATGAAGGGAAGAGATATAAGGAAGGGAATGAAAGTGTAAAATAGGAGGGGAAAAGTATGAGATCTCAATAGTTGTTACTTATTTCTCTTTCAGGTGGAAATCTTCTTCTTTTTGTGACTGCCCCCCTACTGAAAGCAATGCGATACCTCTCTTACAATCTGAAAAACTCTCAGTTGACATGATTTTCAAGTGTCATTTCATACAGCGATGCTTAGTTCAAGAAAAGTCATGGCATGCCATGGGTAAACCCAAGATCATGGTAATGGTAAACCATCCTGGCTCCTTTAAATTTCATATTTTTTACTTTATTTTATTGTAAGGATGCTGTACAGAGGGGTTACAGTTACATGAGTAAGGTCATGAGTACATTCCTTGTCAAACACTGTTACCCCGCCTTTGTTTTTCTCCTACTATCTCTCCCGCCCGCCAACCCCACGCCAAAGTTGTAAAGATCATTTCCAGCATAGTGTCTTGTGAGTATCATTGTTGCAATGGGTCATCCTGTGTCCTTGTTTCAGCATTTTGTTATTTCACTTCCTCTCCCCAAATTAGATAAATGTATATACAAGATGCAGGGTACCAAAATCAAACACAGTGACAACAGAGGATATACCATAGGGAGAAGAACATTCAAAAGAAACAAAATTCAAAAGATTCAAAAGAAAAAAGAAATCACATGACACATTGAAAACAGCAAGAACAAAGAAAAACCTCTTGTGTCTATCTTTG